ATATTAGATAGAATTCACTAGGATATGGCATATGCGCCTTGGACATATGTCTTAAATTGGTGTATCAATGATTTATGGGAAATGTTTATTGAAGAACATGAAAAAACTATGCATGGAATTTTGTGAACATTGTGTGTATAGAAAAACACACTGATTTACGTTTTCTACAAGCAAGAACAAAAATATAGGGTTGTTAGTGTTAAATATGTAATTCATGTTAGAACACAGATTGGTGTTTCTTATATCTCTATGTTTTGATGATAACTTTTATGGAATTTTGTAATGAGCAAATATACACTCTAAAATTTGTTCAAGTATTATTGTTTCAGGTATAAAATTAAATACTCTTAAAAGAAGCAAAAAGTACAAAGAAACTATGCAAAGATCTGAAGCATCAGATGCAAGACTATCAGAAGATTCTGAAGCGCTGCCAGAAGGATCTGAAGCAGAAGCTACAGAATGATCTGAAGCATTACTGAAAGAAGTATACAAATGCTGAAAGCTCTGATCTTACCAGACTCTGAAGTTCTTTCACTACAAACTCAGAGGCTTTTATAACCAGACTCTTATCATTAATATTCACGCTCAAAGCACATACTGCTGCATACTCTGATGAAGACTCTGATCAAGACTGAGACTCTGATACATTAAAGATCTGATCATCTATCAAGACTCTGGACTTATCATTCATCTTAAGCTCTGAACATCTTAAAGCATTCCATACCTTTTAAGCTTACTACAAGTTCTGAAGTGCAGATTGTGAAGACTTCATCTTGAAGAAAGCTTGTTGAAGAAGCTGTAAACTTGATTAGACGTGGTGCTACTTCCAAAGTAACCAACGGCTAATTTCTCCAAAGAAGTGACGTGGTGCAAATCCCAAGGCTTCTACAACCATACCTTTTTGCAGAAAGCATATCTCTGCCCATACTTTTGGTGATGAAAAGTCATACAATTAAAATATTATATTCAGCTGCACATCACTCAAAGCATTTGAAAAAGCTATAAAAGGAGAACTACTTCAACATTTTGAAGCTGCTAATTCACTACTCATCTTTTGCTCATTGCTAGATCACTCAGAAAGAAATACACGTTTGATTCATAAAAGAGAAAATCTCACAAGATCTTACTCATTTGATCTTTCATAAAACCATATAGTTTTTGTTGTACTTAATCTTAAGTGTAAACATCACAGTTGTGATACAACTTATTAGAAGCATTCAAACACTTGTTAGTTTACATTAAATTGTAAGAAGTTCCTTAAGAAGACCAAGGTGTGGTCAGTAGTTCTTGAGAAGACTAAGACAGTTGTTCTTAGTGCTTTCTATTGTAACCAGTTGATCAATAGTGGATTAAGTCCTTGCAGAGAAAGGCAAATCATCTTTGATAAGGTGGACTGGAGTAGTTGAGTTCAACGAACCAGGATAAAAATCTTGAGTTGTTTTTATTGCCATATTTCTTAAAAACTCTTATTCAACCCCCCCTCCCCTTCTAAGTGTTTTTCTCACCTTCAATTCATTATTTTAGAAAGATTATATTTGATTTAGAAATATCAGATTTGATTTAGAAAGATTAGATTAGATATTTTTGGGCTTTCATAGTTCGAGCTTTAGCTTGACATACAAGTTAACCTAAATCTATAAATAGGGAGGAACCCTTATCATTGTAATCATCAAGTTTGATAATCACGGTTTTGCAGTTGCAATGTGATAATAAAATTTCACAGTTGTGGGCAGAGAGTTACTCTGCAGTTCAAACTCATATTCTTTAAACGTGTTCTAGTTTTTGTTCATTGTCATTACATAAAAATCTTGAATTCAAGATTGAGAAGAATTCACCATAGGTTGTGGTTGAATTCCAACCGTTAGACTATATGCATACTGATGTTTAGGGTCCGACTACTTCTAAGGGTGGTTCTATGTACTTTGTTACATTTTCTGGAGATCATTCTATGTATATTTAGATCTACTTTTTTAAGTATAAGAATTAGGTATTTTGTATTTTCAAGTGTTGAAAAGCAATGGTTGAAAATAGAATGGGTACAAAGTTGAAAACTATAAGATCTAATAATGGTACCAAATATATAGAGGAGTCTTTCATGAAGTTCTATAATCACAAAAAGCATTGTGAGACATTGAGAAGTTAGATATATAATATAACATAATGGAGTTCTAGAAATATTGGACCATCAAATTCTTGAGAAAGCAAATTATATGTATTATAATTATGGGTTAGGTCGAGAATGGTGGGTAGAGTTGGTTGCAACATCTTACTACATAATAAATTTATCCCCACATTCTAGTTTAGATGGAGACGCTCCTTATAGGATGATGTAGTTGAACGTGTTGATTATGATTAGCTCAATATTTTTGGAGGCAAAAATTATTATCACGTCAATCATAACAAACTTGAAAATAGAGCAAATAATGTTTTTCTAGTATATGCAAAAGGGATCGAAAGGTATCACCTTTTGAGTGTAGAAGATTCTAAGTTTTTGGTTATAAGAGATGTTACATTTGATGAAAAATCTATGGTACCTAATGATGGTGATGTTAAAATATCAACTAATCAAGTAGTTTAGATAAAATCTAAAGACCAACCGAATTTTAGTCATGTTTAGGTGGAACATTCTGGTATAACTCAAGATGATGAGGAGGATCAACTTGATCATGAGGAGATTAAACAGAAAATACATATACATTACAATAATAGTAGAAAGACTTTTTGGATAACACTAGGTTAAAAGGAATTAAAAACTAGTTCAGAAGTTTGGATCCGACAAACATATAAGGCATTATATACTTAGTGAAATGCACACTCTCGATTGAATATGATGAATTGGTCACCTTCAAATAAGTTATCAAAGGCAGAAATAAAAGAAAGTTGGTTGGTTGCTATAGTGGAAAATATGAAATCTCTTCATAAGAATAAAACATGAGAGGTGGTCCAATTGTCTGAAAAAAGACTATTATTAGTTTTAAATGGGTGTACAAAATAAAATACAATTCTAACAAGTTTGGTAACTAGCTATCAATGTATTTTCACAAAAAGAAGGTGTCGATTACAATGAGATATTTTTTTAGTAGTAAAAAGTTATTAAGTCTTCTCCTAATGATCTTAAGCTAAAATAACTTGAAGTGAAGATAACCTTCTTACACAAAAATTTGAATGAGGAAATATATATGTATCAAACTCAGTGATACAAGGTTGAGCGTAAACTTAGTCAAATATGACGCTTGAGGATATCACTTATGGATTGAAACAATTTCCCTGTCGGTAGTATAAGTGATTTGACTCATTTATATTAAAACAAGGTTTCTATAGAAGTGATTATGATTATTGTGTATACATTAGTAAACTTTGTAGAGGTAACTATATTTATCTTTTATTTTATGTGGACGACATGCTTTTTGATTCAAAAAGTAAGGTGGAGATAAATAAGTTAAAAACTCAACGTGGTAAAGAGTTTGAGACAGTAGAATTCATAGTTGCAAAGAAAATATTGGGTATGGAGATTACAAGAGAAAATCAAACAAAAAATTGTGAGTGAAGAGGCTACATTCAACGCGTTATTTAAAGATTTGGGATAAGATGTGCTAAATCATTGGTGACTCCATTGCTCAACATTTTAAGCTCGTTAGGAAACAATCTCTCACTACAACAGAAGATAGGGCATACATGAAATGAGTTCTTTATGCTAGTGCAGTTGAAAGTTTTATAGATGTCATGATATGTACACGTCCAAAGATTTCATTAGAGGTTAGTGTTGTTAGTAGATTCACGGGGAATCTAGGAAAAGAGTGCTAAAAAGTGGTGGAATGAGTTTTATGATAGTTAAAATGTACCATTGACATATATTTGTACTATGGTGGAGATACATGTCAGTTAAATGATTTTGTTTATTCTTATTATATTGGGGATCTAGATAGACGACGATCTACAATAAATTATGTGTTTAAAATATATCGTGTCCTAGTTAATTGGAGATCAATGTTACAAACTAGAGTAATATTACCTTTACGGAGGCCGAGTACATGGCAGTAAGAAAAGCAATGAAGAAAAGATTACGATGGTGCGGTCTTCTCGATAATTTGAGAATTAAATAAGAATATATAAATTTGAATTATGATAGTCAAAATGCGATTTCTTTAGTTAAGAATGTAGTTCATCATGCATATTTTAAACATAATAATGATATTAGATATTATATTATGAGATGTCATTGATGCTATTTCTCTAATAAAAATACGTACTAACGAGAATATTGTAGACATGTTAACTAAAGTTGTGTCTTATAGTTAGTTTCAGCACAACTTAAACTTACTAAGAATTATTCTATGTTTATTGTTTTTAAAATTCCAAATGATGCGGAGAGTTAAAACTAAATATGGAAAGATGGAAAGTGAATTTTAGTGAATTAAGGAATTAAGGAGTAACAACAGTAAAGACATCAAATTGAGGGGCTTTTACTTATAGTATGTACCTTACTATATAAATCTAAGTTTAAGTTTGTCACTAACAAAACAACATAAATACAGTGTAAAAAAGTGAGTTTCATAATATAAAAAATATTATATATTTCTTTAAACATATATAACTTGATGGCAGCTAGGGTTTTCAAACTTTTGGACTTTTTCTCTTGTGCCCACTAATTGTGAGCTCTAATGCCAAGTTAGGAATAAGGTTTTGGACTAAATTGCCTGAGGGATTAGCTTCCATAGTTATGTATATATAACCAAAAAGAAAATGTACAAGGCAAATCTCATAATAATAGAGATAATATCCAAATCAATGATAGATAATTATCACGCATAACACACCTCTAACAAATGCAAATGCACCTTAAATCAACTCTACCACCATTAACAAGAAACTAAAATTCACTACCTAGAACTCTACTCTCAATGAATCCTTCCAACAGCAAAGGCACATACTCGTACATATTAACACAATCATACACAAAGATCGCATAAATTGTAGTAATTGGTACGAATATACAATAATTACACATTATCTACAGCTGCATTTTGAGCTAAATCGTCACCGGCTAAAGGATGATAATCAGGCTCCGATCCAGATTCTACATCACTACTCTCCTTCGTGAACGAATCACTATGAAGATCCCTCGTGATTCTAGCCGTTGTATCCAAAAAATACAAACAGAATGATGTCATGCAGCAACAAGCAAACATCGGTATAGGTCCATAAATCCAGAGGAAGAAAGTAAATGACAAGTAAAACGCTCGCAATCCAAGTGACCACGAATGACTCCCCCGATTCAACGTCTTAGAAATATATTCCATATACGCTTTTTTATCTCTGAGTGTAGGCGCATTGATTAAAAAACTGACATGACAGTAGCATCTTATAGACTGAATATTGCATAAAAATGCTACAAGGAAACAAACCGTAATCGAAATTCGTTTAACTGCAGCAGTGCTGTGAAATATAGAAGACGTGTCATCAGAATTCCACCCATTGCTAGTGAAAATACCGATCAGTGAACTTAACGTGATCGCTGTTGTAGCAAGAAGAGTCGATGCCATGATATTGTTGCGGATAGTTTGGATCGCCAAAACACCATTCTTGCAGGGATCCTGAAAATACAGACAAAATCAGATTCATAGAAATGGGAAAAAAATCAAACAGTTCGTGTGCAACATGAAATTTCAAAATAAAAATTCTTTGTTTGCAAGAATTAACTGACACTCATCATGGCCTGAACCCATTGAAGACGAGATTCTGTGTTTAAGCCAATGACAGTTCGATGAGGTTCGCGAATAATGGTGAAGAGAAGCCAAGTATGGTACAAAAAGAACACCAATAATCCCAATGGAACAAAAACAAACTCTAGATCATCGTTCACCATGTATTCAAATTAAGGTAATGTTTGGTTGATACAAGATTGTTTCTATGATAAGAGAAAATTGAGATGTTTATAACTATCTAGTAATGAGACCAAATCCTAAAACATCAACCTCATTGTTAACAAATATGAGAGTGACATTAATCACTTTTTCCAGTTTAAATGGAAGATTGATCACAAGTTGTTGAAATTTCAGTTGTTAAAAGATTAAGAAGTGGGTAATTGCAAATGCTCGCATCTCTATAATCAAATGTCACTGCAACTATAAACTAATATAATTTATAAATTTATTATGATATTATAAATGAAAAAAATTTATTTATTAAATAATTAATATATTTAAATAATATAATTTATCGGATAGATTGATTATTTAATAAATTTAAAATTTTAAAAATTAAAAAAAAACATTGGAATGTAAAATATAACTCTGTTGAAAGTTGTAACTTGATGATAGTTCCTTTTTAAAATTAAATTATATTAATAAATTTCATTCAAACCTAACATGTGTGAGAATTGGCGTTAGCCAAATACACTTGTCTAAATAAATTTTATAGCACATGTGCAAAGTGCCAGAGAGGAGATATTAATTTTTTTTAGGGAAATTCTAACCGGTGTTTTTAGGGCACTTTTAAAAACTTTAAATAGTAAATTTTTATAAAAGTATGTGCAATGATGTGTAATAATATGCATTGAAAATTGAAGTGTTTGAATTTTTTAAAGAATAATTTTTTAATATGGAATGTTTAAATAATGCCCTGAGGACACTGGTTAGCAAGACCATTTTTTTATTATATTGTCAACTAATATTTTTTTGTGGTAATTAAGAGGGGGTGTTAAAATTATTTTAAAAAAGATTAGAATATTTTGATAGTGATGGACTAATATTTAATGATAATTATTTTTTGTCAACTACTTAATTTGGTAATTATGATTATTTTAAAAGGTGAGTGTTGTGTTGTTGACTAATTGATAGCAAGTGGTAATATATTTTTTCTCCAGAACATGTTGTCCACTTGGTATCTTTTCAAAGCTTGTAGGCCAAATATTGTATTCTCTATGTCTATTTATATGTTCAAAGTAATGGTATAATTTTGACAAAATAAAAGAAGAGGAATGGTATTATATATATATATATATATATATATATATATATATATATATATATATATATATATATATATATATATATATATATATATATATATATATATATATATATATATATATATATATATATATATATATATATATATATATATATATATATATATATATATATATATATATATATATATATATATATATATATATATATATATATATATATGATTTGTTTTCAAAAATATATATTTATACATTATTTTAATTGAATATATCAAAATATATTGAGCAACATATCAATTATTTTATAATTGTTCCGGTGTAGAATGAGAGATTGATAGTACAAAGGGAGCGAATCTGTATAATGCATTAGTCTTCGATGCAGTGGAGTGGAATGGACCTACGAGGTTAACACTTTAACACTTAAGTTACTGAGGTTAGAGAGGTGTAGCTTGCAAGAGGGCATATATATATATGGTAAGCGATTAAAACTATCATGTTTGATCCGACATTGATCGTAGAGAGTCATTTGATTAGATCAAATGGTGGTTGATGAACAGGTAGCTTGAATCAGGTGTTAAATTCTCTGGCGAGGTCATTTGGGTTAGTCCCTTGTAGTTTAGCATGTTTTACTAGTTCTTTGGCACGCCTAAAGCAATATCAAATGTCATGTCATATGTGTAAAGCCTCTGCTATCTTGGTTTTCATAGATGTAATTAAGGGTGAAATATTTGCACTCGAGTGTCTTCGGAAGGAGAAAAAGATGATTGAGAAATGTTTGTGTGCCCTTGTTATCGAGAGGGATCATTTTCTGATTAAACTTACCAGGTTGAGTAATCCCTTGAGGGAAATCAGTGATGAGGTGTGAGCATTCAAGTATCCCTGTCTACTACCTGGAAAAGTGTAGGCGTTGACTCAAGGGATAAGAGATAGGGATATCGCGTTGGTGTCACTTAGGAAGGCGTTGTTTGACACTAAAACCGCGAGATAATAGATAGGAGGGCAGTAATTCACGGTAAGGAGGCGAAATTATAAGCTTCATATACTCTTTTTATTGGGATGTCTTTGTAAGGATGATGTTTATTATTTAGGAATTGATAAGAGTTTTCATGTATGTGCGTTATTGTTGAATTTATCTTAACATGAGGCATTATTTCTTTACTCGCTTATTGTGGTACTTATCTTCTAGGGTTATCATTGTGGTGCCAAAGTTAGCCTTTTTTTTTGCCTTGACAAGTGTCGCAAGGCCTTACTCAAAAGCTTTGTTGGACGTCTATGAGGTATGTTCCTAACTAAGGGTCTTCTATTCTTCTCTACCCTCAAGTTTAGACTTACTTCAAGACCAATGTGATGGGGCTTCACCTCCTTTGTTGAATGACTAGCTACTAAGATGGGATGAGCTCGAACCACTACCTTTATTTCGAGGTTTGATGCCTTTGATTGGGTGGCTTTTGTTATATGATTTTCCTGATTTAGTCACGAACTCACAATGTTTATGACAACACCCCTTAGTTGTACCTTACTCCGCATGACAATAAAGACAAGAATTTATTCATTGATGAAAGGAAAAGATTACATGATAAAGTAAGCTTTTATATATGTTGTTAAAAGTACTTAACTAAAATGACCCAATCGTTAATTTATAGGCTCAGACGATGTCTCCTTGATGGTGAATTTATTGTCATTGGAGCATCTTGGATCGGTTGTTGTAATGGGGTTCTATGTTATTTCAATGTCATTTCTTAGGTTTTTTGTAATAAACTTTAGGATATCTCTTTTTCGTTGTTATCTTCATTAAGCGAGTTAGAACACTTCCCATTGTGCCTGTTAGGGGACATCAATCCTTCATTACGATAACTGTCTATCATTATCTTAAAGCATTTTCTCAATTTGGTGATGTTGAATTCTAGCACATTTTCTTTCTTCTTTTCTACCAATTCAGTTTCTTGGATATGTTACAAAGGCTTATGGATTCGTCGGGCTTTGGATATGTCGATGCATATTGTGATGGGCTCTTCGTGGATATTGTGGTACTTCATTTTTCAGGTGAACAATGAAACATATGAGGTCAAGCATTGTAGAGAAAGGTATTTCCAAAATGAAGTTGTACACACTTTTTCATGAAACTACCAAGAATTGTAGATCAAGTGTCCTTGTATCTCTCCCTTCCCTAAGCGTGACCATGAGCTCTATGAAGCCCATGGGCGAGTTACCATTTTGTTGAAGGCTTGTAGGTCGGGCCCTGTATAAGGTGACAACTTTTCTTTCTCCATCATAGGCTTTCAAAAGATTTTAGCATACATGATATTGCATGATCTTCCTCATTCAATCAGTATTATCGAAACGTTAAAGTTGGTCATAACAACTATTATAACTAGAGGAAAAATATAATGATCTCGCCGACGTTCTCACTATCTTTGAATCTAGGGATAGGTCTTTCTGACTTCTCTTTGGGAGGAGTTTCCCCTTTTTTATCGAACGTCATCAACTCGACACTCTTTCTCTTGACTATCCTCTTGGATGGAGTGTTTGGAAAAGGAAAATCCCCATGTAATGAAGGAGATAAAGTTGCATATGTTAGAACAAGATTTGGTTCTGCATCTGTATCTCTAAGTTTTGATGATAACAAGTCAGTATTTGTGTGAGAACAATTTTAGTATCCTAACGGTTTGTTATTGTGTATCTTTAGCAAACAGCTTTGATTCTGACTCTTGAACATGGAACATTACAAGTTTCTGAATATATTGATCTAAATTGCTTCTGCTCAAACTCACGGATGAGAAGCTTCTATGGAAACAGTATGTTGCTACTACAACATTATCTTGGGTCTTGCTTATGACGTGTGACTCTAATCAATTCACTTCTAAAGACTAAGTGCTGAAGACTCTGAAGACAAGGTTCTGCTGAACAAAGTTCTGAAGACTTAAGTTTTTGAAGAATACTCAAGCTTCCGAAGATTAAAAGCTGAAGGTTCTAAAAACTCTGATAAATATCAAGTCAGATATTGATGTGATCAAGCTTCTGATTGATGATTGAAGTTTTTGAACTCAAGCTTCCAAAGATTAAACGCTGAAGGTTCTAAAAAACTTTGAAGAATCTCAAGTTAGATATTGATGTGATCAAGCTTTTGATTGATGATTGAAGTTTCTAAACTCAAGCAAAATCAACTCTTCTAACTCATGCTTCAAATAATGTTTTATCCAGAAGCCACTGAAGAATAGAAGATAAGAACGAGTTTATACGTGGGAAAAGTAGTACATGGTACAAACCAATATTCCTTCCACTAAGCGGATTTCATGGAGTAAGGAAATTGAGGTAGATGATTCTTGTCCCCTCGTTGTTACTCAAGTCACCAGCTCATTCATGAAGAATACCAGATCTTCCCTTCAACAGGTCTTTTTTATTGGCTATATAAAGACTTGAAGACTTGAAGAAAAGAAGAAGCGAGACATGCAAGATTGTTGCCATAACTTGTGCTAAAAATTTTCTTTAAGTGTATTGTATTTTTAAATTGTTTATACCTACTTATATAGAAGCAATCTTTGAAAATACAACCTTGTAATAAAATAGTTGTTTGTATTCCCTTAAGGGATCAGTTAGGTCAGAATCCTTGAGAAGACATAGACAGTGTGTCTCTGTGGTTTGTTAGTCACCAGCGGTTGCTAGTGCAGTTGTAATTAATTTATTATAGTTGATTAAGTCCTTTGGTATAAGGTAAAATCACCTTGGCGGGTGTACTGGATTAACTTTGATATTTTCAAGTGAACCAGTATAAAAATCAAAGTGTATTTCTCTTTGTTATTGAATAGTTGTGGTTTTTATTGAGTGAGTAAAAAGCTTTTGTTTTTGAAAACCCCAATTCAACCCCCCCCCCCCCCCCCTTTCTTGTGTTTTTCTCA